AAGGGGTGTTGAGACTGAAGACCAAGTGTGCAGATCCAGGTAAAACAGATAATGATGCATTGGACCGAAGGGTTATCGGACTAACATGAAGAGTCATATGCAGTCGATCTATCGACAGGGAGCGCAGAGGAAGACCGCCGAATTGACGGGGAACTTGTTTACATCGAGCCAATCGATGTTCTAGGCGTGTGCCTCTGCTCCATTTTTCGTACGCCAGCTCGACTCTGGCGAATCATACCAAAGTACGGGTGGCAGCAGCCACTCAGATATTACAATGAAAGTATGATACGTACGAGATTGTTGCTGAATGAAAACTGATTTGTTGTCTGATGACATGTTCAATTTTGATCGTTCTTGGTCAAAAGCGTGTGCTCCTGCCGGGGACCGTACTGAGACTGAGAGTGAAGCCTGGCTTCATAAATCGCTAAATTAGGAAGGGAATCCGTTAGGATTCTTGTCGATAAAGCTCTTTCCATCTGCAGGAAGCGCCAGGGGCTTGAAGTGGGCCCTGGTTGGGTAACAAAACTGACCTGGTACGGGTCCTCAGTTGATGCCTCGGGTAGTAAGTTCGCACTCCACAACGTGTTGTCGAAGCACGTAGACAATCCCCAGTGTATTTGGTCGAAACAACGGTACGCGCTCACTGGGCTAAAATGGAAAGCTTAACAGCGAAGACGTCACATGAACCGGGATTCCTGTTCTACTCTTACCGCACGCCACGATGACCTCGCTCTGCCGGTCTAACAGCTCGAGTGCGTTTAGTACGGTAGCGTTGACGGTAACGCCAGTTCGTAGCGCGTAGTTGAATCGATCTACCGCTATCACGGTTGAGAGACTCGTCAGTTTGATGTACAGAGCTTGGGATTCATGTCGTAGGTGGATCTTAACCTTGCCATTACGCATGTAATAGCCCGTCACCAGCCCGCACGCCCATTGGTCGATGGATGTGCCGGCACGTGGACGAATGCGATCAGGTGGCCGTCTTAGAAACCAGGTCACAACTCTGACCCCTCCTCACTAACGATACGATGGCACAATACGGCGCCCTTGACTTCGAACTCTGGGCAGGAATCGGTCGCGTCGGGTCCTGTCTTGCGCACGATCGCCGAAGTACCCTTGACCTTGGTCACCAGAAGGTACATGAACCCCTCAAGTGGTGATTCGTGTGTCGGACCGACGAAGACGATGGACCCGGTAGAAATAGCTTCACTAGACATGGATGAAGAGAGAATGCAAGGAAAAGAAGGGAGACGGTTGTTGCTTTATCGGCACGAGGAAAACTGGGGAATGACCTTCGTGGTGGTCATCCCAAGCTGGTTCTCTCAACTTGTGTTCCTCCTTGTGTTCTGATCTCTTGGTGCGCTAAATAAAGCTAGATATGAAACTCCTATCGTTCAATTCGGAAACCCGAACATCCTTCGAATGTTTCACATTTCAAGCAACCACCGTTCTGTAAAAACAAGTTGCTTGGTAGACAATAAGGTATGGCAGCTGTATTATGCAGTGCATTTTAGACCTTAAAAGCACGTTGAGATGATATCAATGGGTTACGTGAAGCAGTCATAAAATTGCCATCTTGGTCCTAAGGCAGTGCTAAAAGTAATTGTTAATGAGCCATGAAAACCAACAATTAACATATTAACCAAAGAACGAAATGTTTTCTAGAAGTTTATCACAAACGCACTTTGAATTTAACAGTTATTATCAAAGAAAAAGCTAATTGTTTTGGGTGCCATTGATTATCGGGTTTCAGGCGACACACGCATGCATTATCCTGAGGTTCTACCTATTCGTTCACTGCTGGCGTGGTGACCATGTTGCCAGGCGAGGATATGAACATTCACAACTGCATTCGCGCCCCTGTAATACAGGAGTGATCACACTATCCACGACCCAAGGAACACGCATCTGGCTTCTATAGTGCGTGGAATAGCGTCCTCACACGCCGCCAATGCCGTTCAAACGTTTTGATCCTAGAAGCTTCTGCATTTTACGTGTAAGTGTAAAAAAAGGCCCAGGAATGTAATTTCCAACAATTTTCAAAATGACTCTATCCATCATTGTTCAAATTAACAAAAATTAGATTATAATGCGATCAGACGGGGTTCTACACTAACGCGGTCACGAGTCTGCATTCTTAGTCCATGTGGACAATTGCACAATAGTTGACGAGTGTGATCGTTCATATAGATCCGCCAGTTTATATTAGCCAAACTATTTACAGGTCAAGAAATAATATAAATAACGTCGTACCAGAGCATACGACGTACTTTGAAGTAAAGTTTCGAGAAGGGATTTGCGAAGATGGACACATCAATACAAGGCTGCAGTTATACAGTGCGCGGCAAGTTGTTATGACCAGCCACTTTTTTGATCGTAACTCCCTCAATTTTCGAGTTGAGGCTTGCTATTTAGATATGTTGTTTAGGGCGAAATCAAGCTTTTGAGACTTGGTTTAACGATGGCGATATCGCATTTTGAGAGGGGTCTAGTATACAAGCCACCACAGTTGTGTCTGCATCCATTAATAAGACCACCCAGTCCAATACAAACAACAATATAAAAGTGAAATGGCTACATCACTCCCAACCATTTATTCAGCAATTGCCACTAGCGCTCTACGCCTTTCATTCATTGCTTTGACTCAATGGGGCTGGGGGCAGCACTTTTGGATGAAGAGGAGGGAAAAATCAAAGGGCCGTACGAAGCTGGCTGCAGTGAGCGCGAAATTGGGAGACGTGTTGGCCGCTCTCGTGGGGCTATTAGCCGCGTACTTTTTGGAAGCGAGAGAGAGCGGCAAAAGCCTCGACCTGCTGCTGCTCTGACAGAGCGAAGATGTTCGCTTGCTGCTGCGCACAGCAGCCAAGGGCAGCTACTCTGCACGGCAGCTCAAGAGCGAGCTTAGCCTGTCGGCATCGGTGCGCACTATTCAGCGAGTGCTTGCCGGTGTCGACTGGCGGGTCTATACTGAGATGGACAACACGCTCCGCGGAAAACAAAGTGGCCAGCACTTCGAGATTTACTGCTGGGCCATCGTTGTCCTATGCCGGCGGAGAATGTGGTTGCGAAGATATATAGTCTAGTGTCAGCTTCGCCGTCGAACGGCGTTACCGAAACATAATTTCGACATGATGACAGGCCTTAC